TTTACATCACATATATTTGATATTCATGTTACAGGGACTTTACTTCACATCTATTTGATATTCATGTTACAGGGAAGGTGAATATGGTGCTTGCTTTATACACAATGCTGCCAAGAAAACTGATCTTATTTATTCTGCTCGACCAGGATCAAGAATATGGGAGGTATGTACACTCTAGCCTGAGAAATGATTCTTGTACAATTTTGACAGTTTAAGAAAAAGTTTGGTAAATGAAAGTACTATTTTACCAAAGAAGGGAACATGTATTCATACATTTTATTTCCATCTTAGGCTGATACCAAGGGTAATGTGTTAAAGACTCACCAGTTTAAACACATGTTGGCAATTCCATCTACTCCTGTATGTGGTATTGGGTAAGTTAGCTTCTAATATCTTTAGTGAGTGAAATGTTACCTTCTCATCATGATTTTGGGAAAGCTGACAAAGTTGATAATGACAGTGAAGGAATTGATAATATGCAAATTACCTAATTAATATGCACAGGCAAATATAGAACCGCTTTACGGAAGGTGATCAAATCTGTCATGTAATCTGACATATTGACATTCTCGTTAAGACACATGCTGGCTATCCTTATGTTAATTCTGTATCATATTCTGTTTTTTTATCCAGACATTGGCCAGTTTTCACTGATGATGATTCTTGTCTGACACAGTCGGTTGCCTTTCCAAGATTAATTCCAGTGAAGTGAGTGCCCTAACCTACAACAAATTTGTAATTATGTAGTATTGATATTTTGTGGCATGTAATTTTTGGACTGATGTTATTCATTTGATTGTTTTTTATTTTTTTACTTAGATCCATTATTGAATCTTAATAAGAAAAGCAGAGAATCAATGTTATACATGTTGTATAGATTTGGCAGACCTCAAAAATCATATCAGTTAGAGGCTATAGGGATCTAGCTGGCATGCACATATATGCATCACGATCTTGCTACTTTATCCCATTAACATCATCATGCTTGTGTTACATTACAGAGATCGTTATCTATTGAGCTGGACTCATAAAGGCCTTTACGTATTTGATCCATCCACCGTGGAGGTACTTTTATGGACAAGCGATATTCAAGGTACGTGTCAGACATCTGTGTTGGTGTCTCTAGGCTAGATGGCATCTGTTATTTTGAAACTTTTGAAATTTTGAGAAATCTATAAATAATAGATTTGTGAATAGTTTTATCAGTTTGGAAGCCTGAATTCTGCTCATGTGAGTTCCCATGGCAATCAGAATGGCTGGATTCCAGGCTGTGATGCCTCCAAATATCTGGACAATTGAAATTATTGCTTGGTGCATTGATGGATAGTAGACGATAACAATATTATTGTTATATGCCAAACAAAATTTATTCATGTTTTTGGTGATCACACATCAGTAAAAATTATCTAAAACATTGTTTTATAATTGGCAGAAACTGAGAGAATTCAAATTTGAATGAAAATTTTAAAATGAAAAAGGTTCTTATGCACACATTAGATTTGACAAGCAAATCAACTAAATACTTTTATCTTTTTGTGTGTATCGGTCGCTGCCACCACATTTGTCTCGTGGTTGAGCGGTATCTTTTTCTTCAATGAGTGACATATGGTGGAATGGTGATTTGATATCCAGAAAATTAACCTTTGGATTTATTTATAACTTTTCAGATGTGGCACAGATTGCTGTTTACAACACAGATATTTACTGCCTTTATCAAAATTCCAAAATTCAGAAGTTGAATCTCATCCCAGTGGAGAAATGCATTGGTTATCTAACAACCAAACAACTCTGGTTGCAATGTGCTCAACTTTGTTGCCATTTCGATAGAACGTTATTGTCAGTTAAAAAACGGAAATATGTACCCGTTTCCATGGTTAAGGATATTATAGAACATTTACGAAACAATGGTGAAACGTATGAAGAATTTGAGGAGAAATTAACAGAATTAGTGAATCAAATAGAACATGTACTAGAATCGGGCAGTATAAGCAACTGTAGTAGCCGAAGAAGCAGTGTGTCATCATGCGATATCATACGCATGGATTCTGGTATTTACAAAGTAAATCCTTCTAAAGTTAATGATTTTACAGTCGACTTGGAGGCTCACAATTGGTCTGCTTTAAACTGTGTGGATGATGAAGATCCTTGCTTTGATGATGTTGCTCTTGTTGCCATGGGAACAGATGAACTTCTCAATGATGCAAACAAGTTGGAGGATCTAAAAGAAATAGACATGGAGAGCTGGTTTAATTGTACTGATAATGTTGCCATGACAAACAATGATAGAGCATGTCAAGAACAGAACAAAACTTTTGATGATGACCACAGAATGAGGGAAAATCTGTCGCTGAATGAAACTGACAGACTTTTGAATACAGGGGAGGGATATGAAACTGTGATCGAGTTTTCTGAACCAAATTTAGAAAATTCTGAATTAATGACAAGTGCGATAAATATTGAAATTAATAATCTGGATTTGGAAGGAGATTTATATCCTGTTGTTGCCAGGCAACAAAATGATGATCTGGAAGAGAGTGTTAAAGATATGATGGAGATTTCTCTGGGGTCGTCGCCATCAAAGGATCTTGACTCTGCAGATATTTTAGAGGATGTTGAATTATCAGAGAATGTTGCTGATGAGAGTAAAGAGATAAATTATGTAGAGATAACACCAGTGATTTGTGATGATATTGTTGATGTGGATCAAAAAGAAAACTTGGAAGCTGATTCTGTTATATCACCAAATATTGAAGAACACTTGTCTACAGATGATAAAAATAATGATGACAATTGCCATACTGAATTGGTCGACGATAACCAGCAAGAAGACTTTGCTCCAGTTTACGTCTCATCAGTGAAATCCCACAGTAAAAAACACAAGAGACGCAGAAAAAAGAAAATTAATCCAGCAGGTAACTTGATTTCTATATGCATTTATTTCAGAATATGTGTTAATATGACCAAAAGAACCCAAAATAATATATTACAAGCAAGTTTTGATAAAACATAATGTAATTGTGGTAAATTTTTTTACGTCAATACATATTACTGTCAATGTACATTTGCCATAACTCAATTATAACCTAAACACTGGCTGAATATATTTTAATGTCTAATCCTAAAACTAAGGATACATACCTGAACCTGATGCCTGCACCAAAACTAATTAAATATTCAAGCAAAGGTAAATGTACTTATAAATTTTTGTAGCTATGTAAGTATAAAATGCTAGAATGTTTTTAAAAAAATATATGTATTTTAATATTTATGTTCTCAATTTAGTAATATTGTTTTATTTCTTTTTTTCTAGAAATTATTTCATCGTTGCCTCAGTTAAATGGAAATACTGAGGCTCTGTTGGGAAATAAACTGCCATCATCTGGACCCATCAACAATTTACAAGAAGTACAAGAGAGTCAGTCACCAAGAGAAACGCCATCTTCCGAACAAATTATATCAGTATCCCCTTCCCCATCCACATCTCAACCATTGCCTGGAAACCTACCAGCGTTGCCCATGGTTACCAGAAAGAGCCCACTATCCTCTCCTACTAGAGATTCCAGACAAGCTCCTGCCAAAAATGAAATCCCAACGACTAAAAGGAACTCAACAATATCGTCATTACCTGATGATGATGTCATCCAGTTGTCTTCATCTTCATCGTCCTCCACTGCATCACCATCCGTCCCAAGACGCTTCCTGTCACATTCACCTGTATCTTCATCACCCACTAGATCACCTCCAAAAAGAAGCGTATCTGATCCTTTCCGGCAGTCACCGTCATCACCTACACAACCATCAAAACAACTCCCAACATCAGCATCATCAAATATTGCACACCCATCTCCTCTTCCTTCACCAAGTTCTTCTCCTAAGTCTACATCTATCTCCATGGTAACTTACATGGGTGTGCCATATCCATCGGCTTCCTCTGCAAAAATACCATCTTTGTCGGCTGTGAAGGACAGGTATGTAATTTTTTTTGTTGGTGCAATATTTTACACATTTTTAATGTATTAAATACCGTAAAACAATTTTGAACAAAATGAACATAATTTTCGATTGGCTCTTGGTGGTGTAGGTTTTGGTGAATGAATGAATGAATGAATGAATGAATGAAGATGAATGAATTATGTATGCTCATGTTTATTCATATTACTTTTATTTCACAGAATCATCTCATTTTTATGTATTTTTCTATAAATTGTTTATTTGTGACAAAATGAACATAATAATTTCCCAATGATCAAAATTTGTGAAAAAGTATGACAATGTTATGTGAGTTTTTTTTTAGTGAAAGATTAATAATTAAATTTGGTTCAGATGATAACCCATACATTTTTTTGTTCAACAGCATCTCATCCAAGATATCCAAAACAAAGGCCTTCTTCCATATCCATACTGGTCATAATGAAAGTGGAAATCTGGCAAACCGACCGACGGACTTATGGATGGACAGTATGCCAAAATCAGTTGTCTCTCAAGAGGAAAAGGTTATGACAACTTTAGATTTAACGGATTTGATTAAAGCTACCAGAGATGCTAAGTAAGTTGAAATTATTTCTTAGGTTAATTATCAATATGGATAAAGTAAGATTATTTATAACTCATGCTCAGATTGGTTGAAAATTAGTATGACAGGTTTAATCAACCAATCAAAGAGCTTTATACTATGATACCATCTTTAACATGGCCTTATATATTGGTTGATATACCGGTAGTATGAAAATCGAATATTGTAAAATACTTTATTTTAGCTGGAAATTATTTTTGCTGAAAAGACTTTTTGGGTGTTTTGACAAGTTCAATGTAAAATATAGGAGAAAATTATTCCTTCAGCGAAAATTAATTCAAAGTATTTTACAGTATTGTATTGACAATGAATGTCATTTAGTTTCATAATTTTATGAAAAATTGCCATTTTCTCTAACTATATGGTTCAATGGTTTAATGGTGGTTAAAGGCAGGACAAAAAAGTTAACATCATTTATAAAATTCTATTTTATTTCATTTCTTTTCTCTCTTGGGTTGTACTTCTACATCTTGCATTATGTAGTTTAGTATTTTCAATACTAATAATAGTTAAGAATAATTATTAAAATAACAAGTTAAAAACATTTTTTTTTGTAGAGTTGCATTTACAGATATAGCAACACTTCTGGACCCAAAGAACACTAAGGATGTTCTAACAAGGTGGTTGCAACACTTAGATATAGCACAAGATCAAATTAATGGTTTTCTCATTCGATTACCAGAAAATGAGAACAGAGATGTCAAAGGCATCTACAATGTGTCAGAAGGAGATCTCAAACACATACGTGAACTAGCCACTTCATGTTTTGATCTCCAAGTGTTCGGCAGTATTACGCAGAAATTGATAAAAGATAAAATGGAGGACATTACTATGACAACACATAATATATTACCAGATGATGTTGAAACTGTCAAAATGAGAACTGATGATGAAGCCATCACTGGTGGTGAGAGGGAAGCTTTTGAACATGATGATGAAAATGAAGATGATGTTGATGACAATTATTTACAGAAACCTAATGCAGGGGGTGATGCACCTGATAAAAAAACAGTTCAGGATGAAGCAACTGAAGATGAACTTGTCATCTCGATGGACGAGAATCCAGAAAGTGTAAAAACTGTGTTTGCAGGTGTCAGATGCATTGAAGATTCTAAAATCCATGTAACCGAGGACAATGAACCTGCAATCCATCTAACCGAGGAAAATGAACCTGCAATCCATCTAACCAAGGACAATGATCATCATGATGAACAAATATTGGACTACCAGTCAGCAATGTTTATTCACAGATTCAAATATTGGTTGGATTTTGGACAGATTAGAAAAATTCTCCGTTTACGAAATGGTCCAGTATGTGAGTCCTGGAGGGGTTTGCTGAATGCCATGCACGGTACTTGTTTACAAAAATCTCTATATTAAAGTTTTTATTACAACATTTAAATAATATTAAAATAATTTGTTAAAAAAATAATTTATTGGGTATTTTTGCCATAGAACGGAAAACATTTATAATACTGTTAATTACTTTATTTTCACTTATTTATGCTATTTTTGCAGGGATGAATCGGTGAAAATAAAATCTAACGAACACATCTTTTTTTTTTAACATCCAACTCATCAAAAATTAGTGAAAATAAACACCATACAAAACACTAGAAAAATCATTTCATCTAAAATAAAGTATTTTACAGTAGTGTACGTCTATATTTGCCCCTATAGACTCAATCCTGAATAACTGCTGGTCTTATTCATATCTTGTAAGACTGACAAAGAACAGTAAAAATGAATTGTTTCAACAATACCGAAAAATAATCCATTACAAAGAATTCTAACTTATACTATATCAAACATGCATCATTGAACTCTTAAGACAAAAAGGATTAATTTTCAAATTTGTATTTATAGCAAGGGAAGATGCACCAGAATGGTTAACAAATACAGATTATAAAGAAGTCATAAAATCTAATCACCAATCAAGAGTACATTTACTTATTTACATTGACAGGTAAGTTTATGTATGAAATGAAAAATAATGTGTGTTTGACAACCAAACTGATTTCAAGAAGGTTCTTGATATAGTCAACGAATAATAGTACCGGTAGTCTGAATTTGGAACAAAAACCTCAGACTTGTGCTTAATCAGTCCAGATGTGATTGATTTCAGGTCTGATTTCAGTCAAATTAGCACAAAGTTATCTCAATTTTGCTTACACTTTTGAAGGAAAATGTTCTACAGAGAAAGTTGCAGAAAAAAATAATCTTGCATATGCTCAATCTTTTCATCACCAGTTCCCTGTTTTCATCACAAATTCACAAAATAGTCATGTTATAGTCAGCATTTCTTTCAGATTGGGGCAAAAATTGACTCAAATTTTGTCTGTTGGCTCCAAAATTAGGATTTATTTCCAGAAATTTTGAAGAATATAAGAAAAATGTGTAGAATAATTTGGACAAGAAAGTCAAGTGGTGAAACATGCAATACGAATGTAACTCAAAAACATGTGAAGGAAAAAAATAATTTGCAGTAGTTTTATTTCTTTTCATTCTTTGCAAAATTTCCAAACAGGCTTTTCAAGAATGATGCACTAATTGCACTGGACTGCTGTATCCATGGTTACCCATTAGTTCATCCATCTGAGGTACTGAGGTTTTGTGCCGAGTATGACAACAGCCAAGATCTCATCGTGCAGTATTTGCATAAAATAAATGGGTGTGAAAAGAGGCAAGTGTGTTTAATATGTTATTATCTGTGATGTTATTTTCTTTTCTTTTCAGGTGTAATATTTGTTAAAGAAATGTCTGTATCATTGTAAATCAAAGGCAAGATATTTGAGGGGAAAATGTCTGTTCCCCCTTGTTGTTGTTTCAGTCATAGAAATAAGTAGACTGATAATGAGAACTCTATTTTAAATCTCCAATTAATTAGATAAATGTAGTAAACGAGTATAAATAAAAAAAAGTGCAGTGTTTCCTGTTTCAAATCTAGCTTATATATTTTTTTTCATAAATATATTCCTGCACTATTATGTAGGAACTTATTTTCAATTACAACATGAATATTAATTTTTTTATGTAATTGTGATGACTTTCTTACCCTGTATTTTTAGGTTCTCAATGGACAAGGTAGAATTCTTTTTCAAAGGCGAATAAATATTATTATTATAATTAGTAATAGTTATGTTTGATGTTTTTGAAAATATTTTCATATTAACGATATTTTCTGTTTTCTCTAAAGAGATCAAATTCTTGCAGATTTGTGTAAAGATTGTGAGGTCAGAGGTCAACTACTTGAATATTTGCTTTCCCACAATACAACAGAGAACAAGTCACTGCTGTCATGTGACTGTGGAATGCCAAGGTAATAGACAATTTAAAGGGGTGTACCATTTGAATTCAATTTGTTTTCATTTGTGGCGATTGACAATGTACAAGTTTTTCAGAAGAACAGCTGTTATTGCATCATAATTTGGGGGCAGTGCCCTCATTGTTGAACGTAACCTTCAAGTCAGCAGTTTGCTGCATTCACTGTTATGTTATAAGCCATTATCCGCTGAAAGCCTCTACCGATAGCTGAAAAAAATGAGAAAAATAGCGTTGGCAGGTGATGGGTCAATCTCAGTCAACATGTGAAAATGATATACATGTATCTAGTAAAGTTGCAGAACGGCAACTGTATGGCGTTGCTGTCATTAACCTAAGTGTTCGCAGGTAACACCTCCAACCCTTAAAGAATGCACATGTACATGTAACCTCAACTGGTATTTCTGTACAGCAACATGGTTTATAATATTTTCAAAATAAAAACTCTTTTGCATAATGAGATCAGTTTCCCATTGACGATGCAACCACAATGGCTGAAAATGCATTTCTTGTAGTAGTTGGCTAATTCATGAGATGTATGCTAGATTACAATCTGCTAAACAAACCAACTTTTGATGTTGTCTGATAAGTGATGTATCTTGTACGATGTATTGATTGGCACTGGTGATAAAGTCAAGTTCATTGTTAGTAAATCCTACCAGTGTGTTAAAGAAGATTCACAAGTCTCTGTTGGTGCTTCAAAGCTGCAAGCTGCTTGTCAGTGAAGAAAAAACGTTTTGTTTGGCTGTGAAATTTGTGTTCAGCACATCCAAGCTGAATGAAATGAGTCAATTTATGTTTTGACATTGTTTAACACTTGTATCATTATGACATTCAAAGAGTTAACCTAAGTGCATTGTGGTCCATTTTCAGACCAGAAGCTAACCAGTATATCTGGCCGAATGAGGAGACAATGAAGACAATCATTAAATCTACAGTTTTATCAGATCACAAAGAACACATCCTTTCAATTTGCAAGAAATACAGGTAATTAGTCCCCCTTCGAAAACAGGGACTTATGTTTTGACCTCTGTTCGTCTGTGTGTATTTTTGGGCTGTTTACTGATGGACTTTATTTAAACTTGGTTTGACTAGCGGTCATTTTGTTTTAATAAATGGGCTTTTAGAGCCATATCTCTGACAGGCTTTGAGTGATTATGTTCAAATTTTGTATATTCCATTATACATGT